CAAGTTAGTGTTTTTAGGCATTTTACATTTATTCCAAAATAATAACTCAAGGCAGTAACAATTTAAACTATAAATGTATTTGTGAAGGTATGTTCAGCTATTCTTTTTAATAGTTAACTTTTAACTATTTTTGAATCATTCGGTTCATCAGTCATCAAAGCTCAGTAAATATTGGTCACAGACACAGAGAATTACTTTTCATTTGACCAAGCTGTTTACTCACTAAAAACTCCCACAGATCGTGTTTTCAGGCCATTTCAAGTCTAATTTTGACGTAACAAAGTGGTTATATCTAAGACTAAGTGTTTGAATTGTTTACGTTTTTAAATGAGTCTTCCCATCAATGCCATTATATTGTTCATTCAGACTGGTTCACGAATGCGCATGAACACATGAGGTGGGATTAATCGCATGAACCAATCACAGCCAACCATAACCAATCATATTCATTCATATCGCGATGGAGGCATTGCCTCCTCTCACGTGATTTTCCCTCATTCATCTCTATTACCCCTTCCCCCCTCCCCACCACCAAAGTCACCACACTCTTTTAGGGGGTCTGTTAAAATTGAATGGGCTCAGGGGAGGTGAGAGAGACGCGGACTCCTGTTGTAACTTTACCCGCTGGTGTCGCTGTAGCACAATGTTTCTTTAGAAAAACGAGTGATTTATACACTTTTTAATGTTATATTTTGTAATATTGTCGTTGTTTTATTTTTGTAATGTGATTTTTTTTTTCCCTCATCCAATATGACACTGCATCCCTTGCCTACTCGGAGGAAATGTATGTATATATTTATGTATGAATGATGGACCAAAGTTTGTAATGGTTGCTTTGGTAACCTAAAGTTCAAACAAATTATAATTCCTTAAAATAAAAGCTGCATAGCCTGTTTTACTTTGTTAAATGCTACATACTGCTAACAATGGCAGTTTAATTCTAGCCGCAGAGGTTCAAATTAGTTTGTTGCGCTGTGGTAATCTAAACTGAATCTAAGACAACAATTACAGCTCATTCCATGCATTGACTTTGATGCTAAGTCCAAAATTGACACACTTTTTTGCCTTTGAGGTATTTTTTTTTATGTGTCAATCATTCACGCATCACTTCCTGTAATGAATGACAGCGGTTATTGAATGTGCCCCTTCGAAATGAACTTTCTTGAATTACTGTCTCCTTGTGAGATGTAATTTAAAGTACTTAGAGGACTTTTTGAATGACATGTCTTTGATCCTGCCAAAACTGTACTATGCTTGTGTAATGAGTCTGTGTTGGCTGTGCATGCACCTATAAACACACTGGTTTATTGTCACAAAACCCCTGCTTTTATTTTACACAGATAAACAGGACAATAAATAATGCCAAACATTAGATCTACATTTGTACAATACAGCAGTTCCTACGATTCCAAGAATAATCCAGAAGGTTTTGTTGAATGTCATTCTCAGCGTGTCGCCTGATTCAACACGGCCGCTGTTTGTCCCACATTGGCACGTTGTGCATCTCTGCTCGTCCAGCTGTTCTTGAATCTCTTCCAAACCAGTCAGAGCTGTTGTTTATTTGAAATGGTTCAATCCAATCCAGATTAATGGCGCTTTATCATCTGTCCCCCTCCTCCTCTTCGACTTTAATCACAGAACTCACTGCTGCCAGCATGAAAACCAGGCCCATAATTTTCCCTTTATATGACTTCTGATGGAGTTGCCTTATTTTAAATGACTAATTATTTATCAACAAATAAATGGCTCTATTTTAGAGCATAAATCATACAGCATAAACAGAGGACTTTCATTCAATTTTAATTTGAGTTTTTATAAGTTTGTAGAGATGGAACATAAAACATTTTTTATACAATTGCTTCTTTTATCTGCAAATTCGGAGGAAGTTGACATATTAGGGCTTTTCCAAATGTCATAATTCATCCCTTAAAACTCAACGTATTTGAGAATGAAGTGGGAGGGCACTTCTTTCCCCGTTCTTCCTCTTTTTTAAAACATCACATTTAAGGCTTAACTCTTAAATCCTCTTCATACACCACAGAATCCTTGAACTCGGTGACTCTGCTGCATTGCGTTGGATGGATGCCCTGCCCAAACTTAAGAAACTCTGTGTTGGTTATGATGCTGAGGTCATGCTGGAGTAAAATGTACAGTTTCTGGCATGTTTTAAGTGAGTATATGACTTTGTTTTATAATGTGTTTGTACTACATAGGCAAAAAAATTTAAAGATTGATTTTGACGTAATAATTCATGTAATGATATAATTAATAAATTACCCAACAAATTGAGATTAAATGCTGCAACAGCATTCATAAACATATTTGGGTGTTCCACTTGATAATTTTGCTACTAGTTGCAATAGAGAAATCATATGTACTGAGTGAGATTAGTCAATGACAAAATGATCATTTGATCTAAAAGGTCCCTTGTGACTAAAAAATGAATGTGTATAAAAAATAAAAAAAAGTAACCAGAAATGACAACAGCAAAGTATGTCTAGAAGACTGCTTTTAGTTTAATTGGAGCAGTCTCATTGAAATCACTTTAGTCTTCCTCTTTACTGTGAGCAAACAGGGATTCACGCATCAGCTCCTCAGAAGTATGAATAAACAGCAGTGCGTCACACGCACTTTTTCATTCCCACAACTTTAGTTACAGCTCAGGATGTTTTCTGGTTAATCAAATTGATTCCTCGGGTAAAAGCTGATAGCAAATTGTTCAAATTAGTCCGCTGATGAAAATGGAAGTGATTTAGCACATAGTTGCTTAATGCAGATATTTTATCTGCCTAAATGTTGTACAATAAATAATTCTCAAGACCCCATTAAATCAAAATGAGAGTTTTGTGGTTTTAGTCCATGTGTTTTAACTATGAGGAATTTTATATGCTAAACGTTGAAAAAAAAAGATTTTCTTCTGGTAAAACTGACCAAAAATCCTGATGACTCATCCTGCACTACACAGATTTTTGTCCAATCAGATGCTTAATAGAGTCAGAATGCCCCACCCCCTAATACCACCTGCAACTGACTAGCAAATCATGGTTCATGTTTGTGATGTAAATACAGCTACACTGATTTCTTTCCTCTGTTGACATATTTCCTGTTTAAAAGGAAGTGTGGCATATTGAAAGCCTCATCCTTTTTTATTTTTAAATAGCAAATAGACTTCAGGTACATCACAGCCAAGAATTATAATGTTTTATCTACTTGTTTCTAGAGAACATCTGAGTTCAGTGTAGTGTAGTGCAGGATGAGTCATCAATATTTAACAATGTACATTTTGAATATATATATATATATATATATTCAAAATGTACATTGTACATATATAATGTACATATATATATATATATATTAGAAACCCACAAAACTCTAATTCTAGCTTTTAAACATAAGGCTACGTAAAACAAATACATAGTATTGGTATTGCAACATTAGTCAGCACACAGTGGACAGTCAATGCATTGGTTATTTCGTTATAATTTGATAAGCTGCACATTACAAGCTATTCTCCGTGTGTATAAGTGAGGCAATTGGAGAGTGAGGCGATCATAACACTACATTGGTATAATTTACATGCGTTCCTCTCTTATGAAGAGAGAACATTGGTGAAATCAATAGAGGTGAAATCTTCCCTGAGGTCGCGCTGTATCGAATGATTCACGCGGAGCCACATACACGATTCTAGGCCCTTTACGATTTCCACAGCGTCCTGTCACACAAGTGACTCGCAAACAGGCGCGTTATCCGAGTCCTGGCTGTGCATTGAACTCAGTCCGGTGTCCGAATCATCATCATTGGTGCATGTTTTTGACAGTCCCCTCGCCTGCTCTACCCAAACATTGTCTTTGTCTACGGAAGGCAGTTGTTCAGTTTCTCCCTCATCTTTGCTGTCATCCGCCTGTGTCCCTTCCAACTCGTCTAATCTGTGAACCTTTTCGAGTAATTCCCGCAACTCCTTTTCCTTCGCGTCCAAAAGCTCCTGACTCATCTCCAAGTCGCTCTGCACCGTCTCCAGATCGGTGTTCAAGCGCAGCCCGATGTATAAACTCGTATCCAGTTGTGTTTTGATCCTCTCCTCCTCTAATTGGAGTTCATTGTCTGTGAGGAGGTCCGGAACAACAGGGACCGAAGTCACCTTGAGAGCCGTTTCTTCTCCAGTGCTCTCCGCGTCTTTGTTGGAAAGCTGTGAGCAAACAGGGATTCACGCATCAGCTCCTCAGAAGTATGAATAAACAGCAGTGCGTCACACGCACTTTTTCATTCCCACAACTTTAGTTACAGCTCAGGATGTTTTCTGGTTAATCAAATTGATTCCTCGGGTAAAAGCTGATAGCAAATTGTTCAAATTAGTCCGCTGATGAAAATGGAAGTGATTTAGCACATAGTTGCTTAATGCAGATATTTTATCTGCCTAAATGTTGTACAATAAATAATTCTCAAGACCCCATTAAATCAAAATGAGAGTTTTGTGGTTTTAGTCCATGTGTTTTAACTATGAGGAATTTTATATGCTAAACGTTGAAAAAAAAAGATTTTCTTCTGGTAAAACTGACCAAAAATCCTGATGACTCATCCTGCACTACACAGATTTTTGTCCAATCAGATGCTTAATAGAGTCAGAATGCCCCACCCCCTAATACCACCTGCAACTGACTAGCAAATCATGGTTCATGTTTGTGATGTAAATACAGCTACACTGATTTCTTTCCTCTGTTGACATATTTCCTGTTTAAAAGGAAGTGTGGCATATTGAAAGCCTCATCCTTTTTTATTTTTAAATAGCAAATAGACTTCAGGTACATCACAGCCAAGAATTATAATGTTTTATCTACTTGTTTCTAGAGAACATCTGAGTTCAGTGTAGTGTAGTGCAGGATGAGTCATCAATATTTAACAATGTACATTTTGAATATATATATATATATATATATTCAAAATGTACATTGTACATATATAATGTACATATATATATATATATATTAGAAACCCACAAAACTCTAATTCTAGCTTTTAAACATAAGGCTACGTAAAACAAATACATAGTATTGGTATTGCAACATTAGTCAGCACACAGTGGACAGTCAATGCATTGGTTATTTCGTTATAATTTGATAAGCTGCACATTACAAGCTATTCTCCGTGTGTATAAGTGAGGCAATTGGAGAGTGAGGCGATCATAACACTACATTGGTATAATTTACATGCGTTCCTCTCTTATGAAGAGAGAACATTGGTGAAATCAATAGAGGTGAAATCTTCCCTGAGGTCGCGCTGTATCGAATGATTCACGCGGAGCCACATACACGATTCTAGGCCCTTTACGATTTCCACAGCGTCCTGTCACACAAGTGACTCGCAAACAGGCGCGTTATCCGAGTCCTGGCTGTGCATTGAACTCAGTCCGGTGTCCGAATCATCATCATTGGTGCATGTTTTTGACAGTCCCCTCGCCTGCTCTACCCAAACATTGTCTTTGTCTACGGAAGGCAGTTGTTCAGTTTCTCCCTCATCTTTGCTGTCATCCGCCTGTGTCCCTTCCAACTCGTCTAATCTGTGAACCTTTTCGAGTAATTCCCGCAACTCCTTTTCCTTCGCGTCCAAAAGCTCCTGACTCATCTCCAAGTCGCTCTGCACCGTCTCCAGATCGGTGTTCAAGCGCAGCCCGATGTATAAACTCGTATCCAGTTGTGTTTTGATCCTCTCCTCCTCTAATTGGAGTTCATTGTCTGTGAGGAGGTCCGGAACAACAGGGACCGAAGTCACCTTGAGAGCCGTTTCTTCTCCAGTGCTCTCCGCGTCTTTGTTGGAAAGCTGCTCCTGTCGCCGTCTCATCCACCTGTGGTTGAGTTCTTCTTGTATTTCACCTGTAAGTATCTCCATCAGAGCCTCCCTCTCGGCTAGTTCCTCCTGAAGTTGAATGACTTGGTCGCAGCGTGCCGCGTATTCCTCAAACTGCGCAACGGACGCGTCCGGATGCGCGCTGGACTCTGTATCCAAGCCTTGTTCGAGCAAATAAGTGTCTTGCACGTAGTTTACGCCGTGTATTTTCATTCTGTCAAAGTGAACTTTTGATTCATACCTTTCGATTTCATTATCCAGCTCTTTTATTCGCTGTATCTGCTGTCGTAGAGTATGATCCTGCGAAACTATGAGATGTACGAGCGTTTCTATTTTCTCCGCCGATGATTTGTCACTCGAAGCCTCCTCTTTCTTCCTATTCATTTTGTCCAGCTTTCTAAAAGCCTTCCGCACAATCCTCCGCTGTTTGTCCTGTGAAATCTGCATGGTGGCTCTGGTAGTGCAAGGGCTCTCTTTGCTGAGCACGACCCGCGCCTCTGCGCTCCTCGGTCCGCTGTTGGGCAGCGACGCGTCGCTCCGGACCAGGACGAAGCGCACGTTCTCCTGCTCGTCGCCCCAGGCGCTCCACAACCGCAGGATTTTGGTTTTATTCGGCAAAATGCGCTCAAAACCTCTCCATTTCTCCACGATACAGTACGACTGCGGAGTACCGGTGAGCATCGCGCCTTTCTGGAAGTTCTGGTCCTCCAGCAGCACTTTTATTACGTCCGCGCAGGTGGTGCGTCTGGACAGCCCGGACACCAGTTTCTCCTCCCGGCATACCCACACCGAGATTTTGCTCTCCTCTTGTTCCATGATAACTCACATCGAAGTCCCCGGAACCGGTTTTACTTTCCACTCTCACATTCAGGAAATGTTACACGCGTCCCGCGCGCTCTTCACCGAGTTGTGTTTGTCTCTGAACTACAGCAGTGTGGTTCTGAGCGCTCAGGCACCACCCCATCGAGTCCCAACATCACATGACATTAAACTCCAACTTCACTCTTAATAGATAATAATGCACTCAGATGATCATAAACACATGCTGTGAATATAGGGGCTAGTGGTCACTTTTTCACTCCATTTACGCCATTATTTTTGAAAGCATTTCTGTGTAAGCAAAAATGCATCTGAACATTTCCGCAATGGAAAAATAGATTTCGCAGAACTTATGTTGACCAATAACGGGGCTTGTTGTCACAGGACTGAATATGGGAAAGTTGTCGCAATGGAAGCTGTCATTAAACCGCCTGTATCGACGTTTCAGCACAATGTAAACACACAAAACATCCATGAATCACAAAGTCATTTTTGAAACTAACACAAAAATATTAAATCTTTATTTTGACTAACAAATGTTGTAATTCAAGGTTTTCCAAACTGAAATTCATCAACCGCTGGGGGTTGAGAGTTCACAAAACGTTAATAATAAAAATAGAATATTCATTTAAAAATAAATGAAAAATACAAAATTCTAGGCTTAACTAACACAAAAATATTAAATCTTTATTTTGACTAACAAATGTTGTAATTCAAGGTTTTCCAAACTGAAATTCATCAACCGCTGGGGGTTGAGAGTTCACAAAACGTTAATAATAAAAATAGAATATTCATTTAAAAATAAATGAAAAATACAAAATTCTAGGCTATAAAATTTGACATTTTATTAGTTTACCTGCATGTCATTAACCAAATTCAATTTCAAATTCAAAAATAATTTTATCATAAAAATGTAAACTTAAAATAAAAAAATTAACAAAATAAATATAAAAATCTAAATAAAACACTCAAAGTGTTGACATATTTTCTTAGTTTTCCTTAGTTTAACCAATTAGAGAACTGTGAACACTGAATGTGTTGTGAAATTATTTAAACATTAACTTCAAATCTCTTTTCAAGTAAATATTCAGGTCAAAGAGGTTTGGCTGACCAAAACCATTTGGGAATCCCTTGTTATTAAACTGCATAAATGTGTAACATTTAAAACAATTGACGACTTGCCCCAGTGAGAAAATAACTTTCCTAACATGACACAAAATACCCTGGTCCACATGAAACATTATATAACCTATAATCTGTTAGTATTATTGGTGTTACTAGTTCTTTAAATTGCTAGTACGTCTACTGATGACATAATGTACATTTTGATAAAATATGAGCTTTAGACCATACTGTAGGCCTAAGCCTGTAAAGTACTTCACTAGAGGGAGGTGTATTATTGTTAGTCTGAAAAAGGTCAGTGGCTATAACGTAAATCACTACACTGGTTTTGTCCAGCTGTGCATAACCGGATGTTCAGATTTTCCATCGGTCAGTGCGGATTTAGGCTGTAATATCCCCAGATGAGAGAGGGCAAAAGACAACTTTCCTGGTGAAATAAACCGTCAGGATTATATCAAGAGTTCTGTTGTGCTGTAGACCTGTCGATATATGTCTATTGATAATAATAATAATGTTATAATAATCTGTGTGTGTGTGTGTATATATATATATATATATATGTGTGAATCCTAGTTACCACGGGATGTTAATCCCGTGGCAAAAGACAGAGAAACAAATACAAACATAATTAGCGTAGCTGCTGTTCCAACCAAGCAAAAATGATTTGTTTAACCCAAACTAATGAATAATAATGTGCATTTGATTAGATATAACTGCAGTAAAAGATTATGACTGCAGTAAAAGATTATGAGATGCATTATTTGAATGCTTGGCCAAAGAGATGTGTCTTTAATCTAGATTTAAACAGAGAGAGTGTGTCTGAACCCCGAACGGGATTAGGAAGGCTATTCCAGAGTTTGGGAGCCAAATGCGAAAAAGTTCTACCTCCTTTAGTGGACTTTGCTATCCTTGGTACTACCAAAAGTCCAGAGTTTTGCGACCTTAGGGAGCGTGATGGATTGTAGCGTGGTAGAAGACTAGTTAGGTATGCAGGAGCTAACCCATTAAGGGCCTTATAGGCAAGTAATAATATTTTGTAACTGATACGGAACTTAACAGGTAGCCAGTGCAGAGACTGTAAAATTGGAGTAATATGATCATATTTTCTTGACCTGGTAAGGACTCTAGCCTCTGCATTTTGGACTATCTGTAGCTTGTTTATTGAAGATGCAGGACAACCACCTAGCAGTGCATTACAATAGTCCAGTCTAGAGGTCATGAATGCATGAACTAGCTTTTCTGCATCAGAAACAGGTATCATGTTTCGTAACTTGGCAATGTTTCTAAGATGGAAGAATGCTGTTTTTGTAACATGGGAAATATGATTTTCAAAAGACAAGTTGCTATCTAATATAACACCCAGATTTTTGACTGTAGAGGAAGTAACCGTACATCCGCCTAGTTGCAAATTACCGTCTTTCGGTGCACATGTAATTCAAATGGTGATTATATTTGTTTCTCAAAAACAACGTGTGTGTGTGTGTGTGTGTGTGTGTAAACAAGCATGCTATAAATTATTTAGTGCAGGAGAGAATATAGAAACAGTTTGCAGTACAAACACTAAAAGTTTATTTTTTTCTTCCCCTCAAGGAAAGTATACACAACTGAAAACAATTATTTGACACGAGTCCACCTATTTAAAAACAGCTACCAAACTGAACGTTTCAGTGCTCTCCAGACAAAAGGTTCTGAAAACAAACAAACAAACAAGAACTGCGTCAAATACATTAGTGTTCTCTTTTAATGCAGTTGCAGATACTCTGCAAATCATGTAAAACATGGCTGACAAAAAACAAACAAAACACAATCTTATGTGGTAAATAAGACAGAGTTTGATTCAGATTCAGGAGTCATTTTACCCACAGTAATGCCGGCTCTTTCAGCACGTGAACTGTCACTCATTAGTCTGCTTGTCTTTGTAATTAAAGTCGCTTCACTTGATGCCTTTGTGTACATGAAATCCCTTCCGCTATATACATGACACCATAACGAACTGCTTTCTTATTGTAGATGAGAAATTCCTGATCTGTCATTTGATTCCTACTAAAATTAAAATATCCTTCCATCAAAATGAGAGAGCAGTAACATTTTTCTATCAGGTTTCGATTTAATTATTTTTTCTCCCCGCTTTTAAAATGTCAAAGGCATTATGGTGATAGAATCCAAATCTGACTCAAATTATTTTTTTTTTGGTGTCAATTTTCTGAGCTGGAAAAACACACAAAAGGCACTTTCAACACCTTTCACTTGGCATGAACAGAAGTGATAGAATGTGTTTATTTGGTGTACGAGAGAGATGGGACCTAACTTCGCTTAGACTGGCTTGACAAAAATGTGGGACAAAATACATACATTAAGTGAGGTTATATAGCCTGCTTTTACTCACAATTAGACGACGTCTGCGATGATAAACACTAAGGCACGAGATGCTTTGGTGATTTTGCTGTGTAAATTCCCTTTCTTGTGTAGCCTGTTCTGATATGATGATATCTTGTGAGAAGAAGAAACTCACTAGTAAATCTTTTCAAAACAGCTTTCCGAATACGTGATTGATGGAACAGGTAACCCCGCCCCCAACTCACGCCATTGGTCGAGTCAGAGTTTAGACGGGTCATTCAAAACAAATGGGGGAATTTTCATAGTGCAACTGAGAGAATCTTTATAGTTTTCGCGAAAATTAACAGACGAATGGCTTTACTCACAGTCTGTGTATCTGGGATATGATTTTAAACAGAAAATGACATGACATAGGCCTACTTCGGCTTTAAATGCAAAAGAAAACTCACAAATAAACTTCTTAATAGAAACTTTAAAAACAACAACAAGATTCAACCTTTAAGAAAATGATCTGTTTCTTAATGTTTTAGTATATATAACTGTAGGTCACACTGGAACAGCCCATGTGCAGTGTAAGGCAGGTAGTTCCACATAAATAATACAGTACCTTTTTATGCTCTTTCATTAAAGTTAAATCCACTAACGGTCAAAAATACCAGGGGCGAAGTCTTTGACATGTAGTGTGAGACTAAAAGGTTGAACAACAGAAAAAAGCTTTCATGTACTATGACAAGACGATTTTATATAAGCAACGTTCTTTCAAAAACACAATGTTGGTTTAAAACATCAACCAAGTTAAACAGACATCCGAACAAAGTAACAAAACCGTACCATTTCACGCATACAACAGGTTAAAGAAACAAACACCAAAACACAAGTGATAAACAAATTATAATGTAATTATTCATTCCAGACCTCACCCAAAACATGACAAAAGCCTTCTAGGTGGGACTGGCAGAGGCACAGCCACTTAAAATGAGGCTTTTCTTAGTCCGTTAGGCTTTGCCATCCTCGGCGGTCGTCAGCTGTGTGGCCTAAAAGCCTCAGTGAGTTTAAAGTCTCCACTGTTGAGTTTTTTTCACTCTCTGTGAGCAGTCTGTTCTGAGTGTTACTCGTGTGAGTCGAGGAGATTCAGTCTTTGACCAGTCTGTAGATGTGATGCTGAGCGCCGTGCTCGCTGTTGGACACCTCGAACACACAGGCTATGCACAGTAGGGTCTCTTGAGTTTCTCTGTTCGTCACCACCTGCGCGAACGGTGCAGGAATTGATGCTTTTAGCAATCGGCAACACAAGACCACATTTGACGCTGAATATATAGTCATATTTACACATGTGCATTTACAAATGACATGGGAATTGTAGGACCTACCAGTAGGATGGTAAAGTTTTCTAGTACGCTGTTCATCATGTACTTCTCAGGCAGGTGCTTGAGCTTATGGATAAAGTTGATCATGTATTCACACATGGGAGACCGGTTGATCTTGTACACAAAACAGCCGTTCTCAAACCGCGCATACTCTGTCTACCAGAAGAGACAAAAAATAAATTATTGAAATAAAATTTTTTATATCAAATAATACGGTTGACATTTTAGAATTACATGCATATCTAAAATGAAATACAATTACATATTATACAATATATTATATATATAAAAATACAAAATTACATAAAATGCATGTGTACATATATATGCGCATGTGTATATATTAATAATAATATAGTATAGTATACTAATATTAATATTGTGTGGTGAAATGTAATAATTGTATTAAAAAAATTACATTTAAATTATATTAAATATAATGCATAATACTTAATATATTAAATGAACTTTAACATTACATATATGCAAATAAAATGACATATAATTGTATATAAAAACCATTTAAAAAGATACTAGAAAAATTGTTTAAAAAATATTTATTTCAAAAATGTTTTGTGAATAAATATTACAATAATTACAATATAAGATGAACTTTAAAAATTGAGTTAATGAAAAAGTAAATGCTAATCAGATTATACGCAAATTAATAGTAATATGGCGTAAAATAAGTAAACAATACGTATATATAGTAAATTGAGTTGATTTTCAATATGACAACATTTGAATGTTTATAAACATCTTTTTATACAGAAGCTTTATTTCCACTCCTCACCTCAACTTTTTCAACCACTTGTTTCCCGAAGGAGCAGACCTTTGTTGAGCAGGTAATGGTCATGTTCTCGGAGCTCTCGTACTGACTGGTCACGCCGTAGAATGCTCCAGAATCCTCCAGGATGTTACAGTTGAGGTCGGCCTGCGGACACATCAGATAAAATGAATAAACAGATGGAGAGAAAACATTTACAAAAGCAAATGTGTTGAATTCCACCCCTTCGTTTGCATACAGTTGAGCAAATGAATGTCAGATGCTAATAAATAAAAGGTGCTTTATGTTAACAGTAAACTCTTTGAGCACTTTAAGCTGTGAATAGAGCCTCCTGTGATATTCATCAAGGCCACAGACAGCTGGAATCACTTTATTCATTCATTTTTTTTACAGCTGCATTTAATGAAACTTTTTTGCAAGTTTATTTTAAAACAGCGAGTACATCATCAGACACTGTTGAAAAACTATTTTTTTTCTTTGCACAGTCTTCGATATTTCAAGGCTATGAAATAAGATTACTGGCCAGCACAGACCACAATCCAAAACTAGTATCTGATGCAAAAGTGTAATAAGTGTTAACCTCCAGAGAGCGGTGTTTGAATGTCCTTTCTATGAGTCTGTACAGGATGTGGTGATGTGGTGGTCTGGTCCGCTCCTGCGCTTGCACCTGTCGCTCAGAGCGGCAGGTGTTCAAATAAAGGCTCTCTATCAAATCCAGCATCAGCCGTATTAAAGGACAGCGCGCGCTGTTTCTCATTCAGACCACCCTGGATTAAATATGCCACTGCTGGCTTTAACGCTGCACTTTAATCAAACAGGAACGTGTTGAACCAGTTCAGCGGCCTCAGTTCAAACCGATGCAGGTGACTAGTGCTCAACGGACACCGTTTTTCAACAGCTGATGCTGAAATCTACATAATGCTGATATATGGCTGATTCTTCAACTTTGGCCGCTTTTGTGTCATAGAAGTTTATTTTTCAAATGTATTTTATGGATAGATTTTACCCAGATCAGCCATCATTAAAAAAATATTAATTTTTACATTTAAATCAAAGTTAATTTTAGAGTTTATTTCAAGATCAACTTTAACTTCAAGACAAACTCAATGACTTAATGAATTTAAAGCTTATATTTCAAATAAAAATATATTTTTAAATAAATTCAAAATGATAAATACATATAACAATTTAAAGTTTATATTTAATATAAACATATATATTTTTAATTAATTCAAAATGATAAATACATATAACAATTTAAAGTTTATATTTAATATCAAAATGTTTTTTTAAATAAATTCAAAATGATAAATACATATAACAATTTAAAGTTTATATTTAATATCAAAATATATTTTTTTAATAAATTCAATATCGCCCATACTTAAAGGGATAGTTCACCCAAAAATGAAAATGTGATGTTTATCTCCTTACCCCCCAGGGCATCCAAGATGTAGGTGACTTTGTTTCTTCAGTAGAACAAATATGATGATTTTTAACTTTAACCGTTGCAGTCTATCAGTCGTATAATGCATGGCAGTGGTAACAAAATCTATGAGCGTAAAAAAAACATGCACAGACAAATCCAAATTAAACCCTTGATGTCCTAAGACACGAAACGATCGGTTTGTGCCAGAAACCCAACAGTATTTATATCATTTTTTACCTCTAATTCACCACTATGTCCAACTGTCTTTGTACCCGCGCACGGCATCCGGTGCGTGAGGTGTGTACGCGCTCTGCTGACAAAACTTGTTCTTCTGACAAAACACTTCTCTGCCTCCCCTAGACAGTCGTCTCTCAGTTCTGCACAAATACAGTACATACTTGTCTACAAATCAGTCCAACAGTAATGAGTTTGAGGCTGCATAACATGTGCTAGAGTATTTACTGTACATAGAATAATGAAAGCTCTCTCTTCTGAAGTACTGCTGCTATGTACTGTAATTATATTGTAAGTGTATTGTGTAAGTAGTATTGAAAACTTGTAGATGAGCTGTAGGCTAACTTCCCTCACGGCCAGTCCATGCAGAAGAACATGCTCAACTAGAGTGCTTTGTATTTCATCAGCAGCTAATGACCTTTGACCTCATCCCCATTGTTTTTATTTTCCCCTCCAATTCATCTTTGTCTCCCACTACCAGGATTCATTTTCCAAATCACATAATCAGCTGTGCTCTTGTTCATATCAGCCTGAGATTCTGTGTCATCAGTTTTGCTGCTGAATGTTCACACATGGATAAATGTGTCTGTTTGAGTTAATTTTTTATGCTTGAGTTAATTATATTGTGTGTTTGTGTTTTCTGAATGAGAACATGGTTAAACCTGTGCAAAATGATGCCGTTCTTGTGTAGAGTTTTGCAGAAAACACTGAGTAAATTAGAACGTGTGAAAACAGGTGAAATGTGTTCAAAGTTTTGAGAAACGTGTCTTTGTTTCAGGAATTGTCTTATTCAGTTTTGTACTGTGCTTGAACTTCAGTTTTATAGTTTTGAAAACAGTGTGTAAACATGTGCAAACTGGCTTGTGTAGTACATGAAGTTTTGGTGGTGTTTGTGTCGAAGTGAGAAAGAATGCATGTAATTTGACAAATGTCTTCAGTGAATGCATTTTGCGCCAAAGCAATGATAATGATCCACAGTTTATCCACAGACACTGATGCTGTGCTCGCTTTGATAAAGTCACCTGTGTTGAAAAATGTCCAAGCGATTGAAAAAAAAATCTGTAATGAAAATTTTAATTATAATGAACATAAATTTCAAAATGTCATTGACATGTACTCTATAAGTATTTCTGAAAAATAATTTTATAGTTAAAATTCTAAATTATGCACGCCGTTACACCTGTACACACTACAAGCATGCAGTCGTTATCAAGACCTTCAGTTGCGTGAATCAAAATGAGAAAGAAGTGAGATGTGTGTGTGGCTTTCTGAATGATTTTTGCTGCACATATGGTTTGAGAATAGAGTGCTGTTCTTCTGGGGTTTAACAGACTCTAGTAGTGTAGAAACAACAACCAGTCAGTGGTATTTTTCAGGTGACAATGCTTTATTAATGAGGGGTAAGAGGAGTCTGGCACAAAGGCATGAGTATGTGAAACAGCTGAAGGACTGGACAACAGAAGATGTGATCTGGATCTCATGCTTTGTGTGCAGATTCAGTAGACCCGAGGGTCAGATTCACAGCACAGGGAAACTCACAACATGAGAACAGCTGTCTGCCAGACTTTATTGAAATAAATGGTTGACTATTATTAACATCCACACCAGCACAGGGTAAAGACACAGCAGTTACAAGGATAAAAACAATACACAGACT